GTCTCTACAGTCAGTCATAAATGCAACATCACAGTCTTCCAGGATTCAGAAACCACTTTTATCTCCTCATTCCCATATTTTGGAACCCAACTTCCCTGCTGGATGACAACCTTCTGCCCCAGCAGCAGAATCTCACCCAGTGGACCTAGTTTGTTAAAGTGTTGTAAAGCTGGCCTAAAGACTCAAGTGAGGTGATTTGCTGAGGCATACCCTACCTTTAATGAGTATGTGAGAGAGATTATTCTTTTTCCCCACCCCAGCTATCCTCAGAAAGACAGCCCAGCTGTTGGCTTCTTTCATAGCAAGGGATCAGTACATATTACTTCACATTTTCAATGCTGGTCATCAAAGTAAAAAGGCAGCTTAAAGACTTTGTAAATTAAAGCTGAAATTCCCCAAAGCCTCCACAGATCATGGGGCTTGTGGCTTTCATTGAGACATAGCTTTTAGACTTTAAAGGCCAGAAAGGAACATTAGATCATAGATGTAACCTGTACATTGCAGTTCATTAAATTTCAGTCAGTACTCCTGTACTCAGTAACTTCTGCCTAAAGCTATCTTCTCTAAAGGCATACAGCCTTGATCTGAAGACATCAAAAGAGGAAGAAACCGCTGCTTCCCTCAGTATTTTGTTCCTGTGGTTAATCAAACTCCTAGTTATAAATGTATGCATTATTCTAATTTGAGCTTTTCTGGTTTCAGTTCACAGACGCTAGTCTGACATGTTTTTTCTTCTGAAACAGTACTTTAGTTCACAGTATTTTCTTCTCTTGAATGTACTCAAGTACACACACAGTACTCAAGTCAACTCCCAACCATCTTTTTGATAAACCAAACAGATGGTGTTCTTTCATCTCTTATTATAAGCTTTTCCAGCCTTCTTAACTCTCTTCTGTGGTTTCTCCAATTTCCTCCCCCCCCCTTTTATTTTAAGTGGACAAGAGAATTATACAGGATTATACAGAAAAATGGTGTCCATTTCACTAATACTCATTGTAAATAATACAATTATTCATCCTTGCTGTTCTTGTTTGCTATTGCCCTTGCTTAAATGAACAAAAATTTTCCATTACACCTTTTTGACACAACTTCACAACAGGAGCTCACACTGGTATGTTTGTTTTTTATGACCTTTAAATGCTTATCAGAGTCATTGCTTTCTAGTTTCTTGCCCCGAAAGCTTTCCTTACCCTAGCTTGCTCTAGTGTCACATTGGACTTGTCTAAAGAGTGATGACAAAACAGCTAGTTCACCAACATCCATTTTCCCAAATTTTTTTACATTTAATATTGCTATGAAGTTCCAGCTTCTGGAATCCTATGATTATTCAAGAATTTTCACCATCTTTTGAAAAAAAAAGTAACTACCCGCTATGTTTGAAGATGTGCCTTGTTGTACATGAAATATTACGAAGTCTGGGGCAAACTTAAAAAAATTTTAAAACTATAATTTGAGAAGGCTTATGTCTTTTAAACTAATATATCATTATTATGTTATCTGAAGAAAAACAATGTGACAGTGAGCATGATATAAAGAAATCCACACTATGTCTGATTTTAGGCAGTGAGCAATAACTTGCATTTCCCTGAGAAATAAAATTCATGCAAATAAGATTTCTAGAGATTAACAGCAACACGGCTTCTACCTTTCTCGTGTTTGGTCTTTCTGAAAAGCTTCTACAGAACTGATGAAACACTGGAAATACAGGAAAGGTTCGAAGAGAATAATGAAGGACAATGAGAAAGATTAAAAGCAAACAAAGAAAGAAATAAAGGGACAGCATCAAACTTTACAAAGACTGTAAAACTGGAGGTCAAAAGTAATCTGTACTCTGGGTTATTCAATACCAGTAACAGAATACCACAAAGTATAGATACATAGGTTCACATTTGTGATTTTATTTCTATCATAACAGATCTTATCCAGCTACAACTGCTGAAATAGGAACTGAACTAAAAATGTATACACATATCTGAGAGTTAGCTGAAGAACACATCTTGATGAAGTAAAGTTACATGAGCCAAGCTGTAAAATTGTGTTATAAAAGTCTGTGTCTGCAGCGCAATATTGATTTTACTCCTGAGTAATACCACAGATTGGAGATATCTACAACATAATAAAGTTATAAAAGGAAAGTTTTTGTTCAACCCAGTGAATTGATGATTCAGATGTGTTTTAAAAGATTAAAAGAGATAAAATTAAACTGAAATGACAAAAATGCTCTTTGAAAAGTCTGTTTTCCTTTTTATTAGAAAATAAAGTCACTTTCATTCAACTTCCCTCTCTTCTGAGTTAGTTGTAGAACTCCATGTTTTATTGAAATATTCAAAATATCTACTAAGATAGAGACAGAAGTTTCTTCATTCCTGACATTTATTAAATAGGTTTCAGGGCTTCACTGAAGAAAAATAAGAAACTTGCTTTGATTTCTGTAGGCTAGGTAGTTTCAGGTTATACCCCAAGATATATATAGATATAGATATAGATATATAGCGATATATATATCTAAAACGTATATACTGCAGAAAAGGGAACTACTGACATAGGGAAGACAAATATGAATAAATATTTGGTCATTCTGTTCTTTTTAAAAAGATTAGCTATGTATTATGGATATTTTAATACGCCTGCTCTGTGCATTGTATGGGGAAAAGGCACACAGAATTAAGTTTTGCATAAAATAATCCCTATACAAACCAGAACACATCTTGACTCCTTTATTTATCTTCTCCAGTTCTAAGAATCCAAACACGTTGTTCTTTTGAGGTTTTTTATCAATTTCCTCTGCTACACAAAATTTTACACAGAATAAAATATATGTAAATGGGTCACATTTCAAAGTAACTTTACCTTTGCACTATTGAACAAACAGAGTTTGATGCTAATAACAAAGCATCTATGTAGAATGAGGTAAAGAAAGCTACAGAGAATGAGGTAAGTATCTGGCTCTAATTATACTGTGTAGCAGAATTTCAGACTGAAACAGTTGCAGATCAATCAAAATTAACAGTTTCTATTGTGTGTAAAAGTCTTTTCAAACACAACCAGGACAGAATTACACTTCACAGTGATTGGAATTTGTTCAGGAAATAAGAATTTGAACATAAGTAGCTAAAATGAGAGGGACCTGATTGTTTCAAAAACCAAATGCTGACAGGCAAGATAAGCACCCAGAGATATATTAATTTAAGCAAGAAACAGGCAGTACCTAGTTCTGAACAACTAACCCCCAAGCTTTCTGCAACTGTAGTAGTACTGTGCTCGTTGCTTCTAGTAAATCAGCATCATGATAGTAAACAGAGAACAGGAAAAGCTGCAAGCTTATTTGCATCTGACATAGAAATTAATCTCAACCAGTTGCCCATGACTTTAAATTTGTAAAAATTTTCCAGAAACAAATTCAAGAAAATTCAACATTGAAGCAAGAAAGGGAGGCTGTTGCCGTTGGCAAGACAGTGGGTATAAAAATGTCTTACTACTAATTCTGGATACCAGCAGAACTGCATGAAAAGGCATGAATTTATACCAGAGGTATCACCCCTTTGGCTTATCAGTAAGGTACAAAAAATTTTCAAAAATATTGTTTACTTTTTAAGTGTCAACATTTAAAATAAAAAAAAAATTCTCTGACAGAGTAATGACCAAACTATGAAATAGTCAAGTAACAGCTAGGATCAGAAGAATCCAAGAAAAAGAAGAGTTTGTTTTTCAAGACACCAAGGCTTACACAAGACAACCTGTCTTGGGAGGAAGAACAGAGAAGGAGGCTGAGACAATTCTTCCATTTACACCACTCAGAGCAGTCCATATGCTTCTGGGCACAGCAAAATTCCCTGCATGTAGAGGGTACATGGTTCTGTGCTGATGGAATCACAGTAGTCAGAACTGTGGTGAGATGACCAAGAATAGAAAATGCACAGGCATCAGAACTGGGAAAAAAAAAAAAGCCTGATCCTAAGCAGAATTTTAGGACAAACCCAAAGCTCCTCATGCTTTTGGGAGCTGTGCCTCAAGAAGGGCAGTAAAAACTATCAAAATGTGAGCTCCAACTAATTAAGCAACGGTGAAATATATGTGAAAGGACATTGTACGTGATAGAGCCATATTGTTTCTGATATTTTAAAGTTCAAAGAATTGCCCCCAAGGAAACAAAAGCTACTGAAGAAGAAAGTGCAAAGATGAGCATTTGTTTGTTCATTATATAGTAGTTACAACACTGAGGTAACAACTTAATACACAGAGGGTTATGCTAATATTTATGTATGGCTGAGCACAGCCAGGGTGGACAGTCTGATCCAGGCGTTCACATAATCAATAAGTGTTCTGCTGTCTTCCCTGACATTCCATCCAGCTTAGCATCATGCTGTATGGGTACACGTGGATGAATCATCTGCAGCACCTGAACAGGATGTGTGGAGAGGCTTGGTGAATCAGTGATCCAGTATCAAGGCAAGAGGACATTATTTTCCTGGGGAGATCACTTTTTCAAAGAGAGTTTCTGAATTTAGGTCATTTACAAAACCCCATTTTGCTCTTCCTACAGTGGAGGGTATTAGGCCTGGCCTTTTGTCCAAGTTTCAAATTTAATGGTAGTTTTAAAACATTAAAAGTGTCCTCCTGTTTCCCAGTTGGCTAATGTGTTTTGTTTTTTTTTTTTTTTTCTCTGCTAGGAGCACATAGCTGCAGCTGTACACAGCTAGACCACTGCAACATTCCTGCAACCTCAGCGGTGATGACAAGAGATGAAGTGGCCACTGGGCAGAATCTAAAAAAATATTTAAAACGGCATGGACTCCATGGAAAACATTATTTAATCTAGGATACCTTATTCCCTTTATTGCAACAAACCAAAATCCTGGGTCACAGTTTCAAGTTCATGGTCCTGCTCTGTTCATGTACGTGGCTTTACATCAGATAAATATGAACTTGTCACATTTCAGCCTGACGTAGTTACTTTTTTTAGTTTTTCAGTGACATTTTGATCAAGATCACACAAGTACCTTGTAAGAGGTGAGGATGAAGAGGTTGGTGAGCGGTAAGAACGGCTGTCATCTCATCATGATCGGAAGGATGTATGTATTCATAAATGCTATTACCAGTAAGCTCCACCTGTGAAGAGACATGTAACACATGGAGCAATGCAGTTGGCTTTTTTTCCCCCCTATCCCAAAAGAGCTCTTAAATAACCTGCATACACTGCATCTGGGTAACGACACATCATTTTCAAAATATAAGTGGAATGTATCAAAACCACTTTCCAAATTATACCCATTAAAGCAAATTAATTCCTTCTTCATCAGTAGCTAATATTATATGGGCTTCTGTGGGAATTTCTAGTGATGATCCAGATACAGAAGAGCTGCTATTACAGAGAGTTGCCAAATTAAATGAGAAGCTAGAGTAGCTGTAGAAATTTTAGATTGACACAAAATGGGATAAAATATCTGAACTGTATTAATGTCTCTCAAGAAGACAGATATTAAAAAAAAAAAATTTTCTACAGGGTCCCAACACCTATCACCTGCATTCAGCTGGTGGCTGAGCCTTCAGAGCCAAACCGCTAGACTTAAACAACTCCTTTGTGTCTTTTCAAAGACGATCCACCACATTCAATCCACAGTAGCCTGAAGGGCTCAGAACAGTAGCCACTGAATTCAAAAGGCAGACTTCCATAGATTTTCATGGGCACTGGACTGAGCCTTCACTACTTTAAGCAAACATGCACAGTGAAGACTAGGTCTATCTCAAATATCTGTCTATTCCCTCTTCTCACTTGAACTTCACTCTCACAAGAATACATTTCTGTCTTTCCCACTGTTGTACCCGTAATAACAGTTGCACCAAAAAATGAATGGCATGCACTATACGTCCTCCTTGCTAACTCTATTTGCCACGTATAAAACTCACCAACAAAAGTCTCCAGATAGATGCAGTAATTGATTTAAGGAGTGAACCAATACTTTGAGCCTGCGTTTTAAATTAGTGTCAGGCTGCCCAATTGTTCAGCGTGGCCTGATGTGCCTTGGGCCCCCAAGATCAGAGACAGCTGAGAGGTGAAGTAATCTAACCTATTATTCTGAGCCAATCCTTCTGCTTTAATAAAATGTGTGAGTTGCCTTTTCTTTGGAATAAATGAAGTTGTCTACCCCACAAAGCAATCTTTTTCCGAAAATGTTTCTCATCATCTCATCATTCCATTTTCTGCATTATTCATGGAATGCCTCTTCCCAAGACTATGCAAACTAACTTTTTTTCCTAGCCATCTATTCTCTGCTGCTTCTTTCCAACAACCCCTCCCTGCAAAAACAGAAACAGCAACACTGATCTTATATTCTAATCAGAATAAAATTTCACTGGATAAGGGAATTAAAGAGACAAAGAAATAGAAAAAAAGGAAAGGAGAAATTGAGAGAGGGAAAAAAAGAAAAGAAAAAGAGTAAAAGGTGCAGAAAGAAAGAGAGGAAGAAGATATATTAAAAGAGAGAGGACAAGAAGGAAAGGAAAGGAAAGGAAAGGAAAGGAAAGGAAAGGAAAGGAAAGGAAAGGAAAGGAAAGGAAAGGAAAGGAAAGGAAAGGAAAGGAAAGGAAAGGAAAGGAAAGGAAAAAGGAAAAGGATTACCTATGTTGCTTCATTTATATAATTTTCTGTAAAATTTCTCCTTAGAAGCACTGGCTGTTCTTTTTCAGGATTATAACAGGTGAGAACCTGTTATAGTAACCCCTGTTATAGTAACCCCCCATGTTCAAGCTTTAATGGCGGAGGAGGAATGTGAATATACAGTCTCACTGTGAGTGACCTCCTCAATGTTTCTGTTTGTTCTTAATTACATGGAGAAAAACATATTGTAAATGTCCATAGCTATCTCCTTAAATATCATAATCACCTCTAGACACATAAAAAGGATTTTTTTTTCTAAGTGCTGAGAATTCTTATGCACCTACTCCCTTACAAAGCATAGCTCATGTGTATCTTTCACTTTCCCAAAAGCCACTACCTATTTCAAAACGACTACTCACAGAAGCACACATTTGTTCACAGCAGTCACAGGACTTCACCTGGGTTAACAGTTTTGTCCAAACTGTAGTTTGTTTTCCAGGGCTTATATCTAAAATTCAAAACTAAGGTGCTTTGTCAAGCTAATGACTAGTTTTTCTCATTATACACATAGGAATATTCTGATGTATGCATTTGCAACCCCAGCAAAATCGGCAGGAGGTGAACATACAACACCAAAACCAAAATTGACTGTAAAAATGCAAGTGGAAACATAAAGCCCTCAGCAAAGAGATGAGGGCTATGTAAGAGTCAAATAACCAAAATATGTATACATAATTCTGAAACTGACCACAGTCTCCTGCTACGCATAGTGCATATGCTATTTTAAAGCCTACAATGAAACACTGAAAACATAAAAAAATAAATTATATGGTTCAATTCATAAACCTTCTAAAATCCCATGCCTCAGGCTTATTAAACCAGCTTCCTTGATGCAGCTTTTTAATATCTGTAAATACCTGCTTACTACCAAATATCGCTGTTTCCTACTAAGAGGTTTTTTATGTGTAACTCAGCTGCACGTTTTTTTCCTGCCAAGAAACAACTCATAATAAACACAGAGGACTAAGTAGGTGGATTCTAGAGCAAATAATTACATATTTTGCCTTTCATATACTTACTTGATGAAAGTAAAATAAACTCTTGGAAAAGTTCAGATGTTTGTGGTTAAATATTTCAAGACTTATCAAAAGTCAAAGATAAGCTTGGCTCCCTCATGGACCCAGAAAATGGCGGGAATAAGCTTCAGGCTTCACATTTTTTAAAAAATAGATCTTTCATCATTGTTTCCTAAGAGAATTTTGCTCTCCTTTCTGTCTATTTGGACTCTAAGGGGGAAAAAATATTTGGGGAATTTGAACCTGTTTGTTATCCATGGGGAAAAAAGAAAAAAAAAAGCAAGGAACTGGCTCTCTCAGCTAGCACAAGTCAATTCAACACTAGTCTGAGGCCAGTTGAAACTAGATGGAGGAAGGAGTCCTAACCACCAGTATTTACAATATTTACTGTTACAGTTCAGGGCAAAGGCAGATCAAAATCCAAAGGCACAAATGAAGTGATAGGGCCACAAATGAAGATATAGCCTTTTCAGAAATATTGTTTCTGATTCTCTGATGATGCAGACAGAAATGAGTGAAGTACTACTGAAAAACAATCCTTAACGTTGTCTTAAAATTTTGAACTAGCTTAACTATACCAGCCAGTGAAAGGTTATTCGGAAGCTCTAATTTCTTTCTGCTGAAGTTTAATTCAAGATCACCTAGCAGATAAAGGATACTGTAGTAGGTCTCTGAGAATATCCTGGAAAATATTTTTAAATAGACTTTTAATTTAGTTTAAATATAAATCTTTAAGCAAATTGCACTTCAACTAGAAATTGATGTGTGGACTAGTTAATTGTCAAATTATTTTTTTAAATGGCCTTTCTATGCGTACTCCAAAAGATTTTCTGCAGTCATCACCACTCTGGTCTCAGCTTGTATTGGCTGGAGCTCTGTAAGAGCACTTGTTGAAAATATAGTGTGGGATTATGACTTGGTGAGGAATACTTGCAAAATTTGCTCCTACAGGCCAGTCTCATTCTTGTTGATGTCAGTGGCAAAACTCCCAGTGATTTCCAGAGAAGTAGGAACAAGGACTCATTTAGAGCTTACAGGAATGTCCTACTGTTAATGTATTAATATCCTAGTACCTAGGAGTGGCCTAGTATTAATGCTAGTGTTACTTAAAGCAAAATTGTCCCTTCAAAAACAGAACGTTGAGAAATAGCTAGAACAGATTAAATGATGACACAGTATAAGGAAAGAGAGGAAAATCACTGCCTTGTTTACCTGGGGGTTTGTGTTTTTAAATAGAAAACTGCGCACTGTGAAGCTGCTGGATCACTTAGTGACTTGAGAGTATAAAACTTGCTGTTAAATTTCACATCTCTCTATCCTCTCCAATCTAGAGCTTTCTGGGACACTGCAGGATACAGCCTGCTCATTTACAAATCTCTGCTAAAGTGAAATATTTGTGGTTTTGTTTATTAAACAGACTCAAATAAGCCATAGTTCCTGGGCACCTCTTGCATCAAGTGTTTATAGATATTTACATGGGCAATGCACATGGATTTCAGTCTGTGCAGATGGCTGTAAGGGCACAAGGGCCAAATATGACCAAAGACTGTATGATGCTTTCAGTCCCCTCTCCTTCAATGTGGCAAAGTCTGTTTAGTGCCCTACTGATCCTGTAGTAGTTTAATTTCACCAGATGACTGGATAACACCGAGACCTACAAGGTCTGATGACTTGATATTCCTCAAAAAGAAAGAAAAGTAATAAACAATTTCTGGACAAAATCTGGAAGATCAGTTAGTGCTTACCAAACAGCAAGCAGCAAAGGACAATGATACTCTACTTCAGCAAAGACAGATGGGAACACTCAGTGCTTTGGAATAAATGTATTGACTAAATGAATCTATTTAAGCAGTCAACAATGTGGTGGATCTTTTAAAAGAACTTAGGACAAGAAAAAAATTTTAATAAGGCTGTTGATTCAGAGCAGAAAATACAGTCATTCTCTAGGAAAGTTTATTGTAAAACAAAACAATTTTTAAAGTAATTTGGACATGCATTAAATTTTACGAAACCTCTAATACTATACTGTAACAGACTCCATTGAACAAACTCCTTGAACTAAGAATGTGCCCTGAACACATTTTTTAAAGTTGGCAGAAAAAAAGTATCCACGCAGAATATTGATTGGGAGAACTACTTTTTTTCTAAAAGAGATTACAAAACCATGGATTGTAGTTGCCTTTGGATTTAGAAGTGGTGTTTATGAGGTTATATACTTGCTTTTTCTAGCTATTTTGAGTTCCGTTTTTTCTCACAGCTACTAATTCTAATATCCCTATTATAAACACACATTCTAAAAACTTCACATTTTTTTCAGTCAAAAATACTTTACTACCAAAGTAAAAGTACACCTATAATACACACAGCTCAGCCCCTTCTCTGTTTATTAGAGTAGTGACAGGGCATATTCCCCAGACATTTTCAGAACTGCCTGCTCTCTCTCACCTCCATCTCTTCATTCTTCTTCCATCTGCTATTAACTCTGTGTTTCACTTTATTTAACTCTGCATTGCACTGCAACTCATTCTGAAGAAACACTTCTGTTTCTTCCAAGTCTCGTCCAGGACCCAGAGAAATTAGTACCGAGTTTTTCTGTTGGACTTCAGCAAGCTTTAGGTCAGGTGTTACAAATGAATTTGTGTAATGCATTTACACACCAAGGTATGGAAACTTGCACTCTGAAATATGTTCAGGCTGTTTGCCCCTGTGCCAATCCCAAGAAGGCAAACAATTAGAAATGTCCTTCTAAGAAAAAACAACAATAAAATCCCCTTATACTTCTTGTGCAGAACAGTAGTAAACTGAGTTTTATGAGTTCTATCACAACCATATAAAACGCTTTACTGAAAAGACCACTGAGCTGGAAAAACTCAGGAAAAACTACCCTGAATTCCATGTGAGCACTCATAAATCTGTCCCCCTTTTCTTTTTTTCCTAAAGCACATTTACCATAAAACTCATGTTCCACATCAGATTTCCTCTCTATTTCATAGCAAGTCTCAATATCTTACACAATCTAAAACATATAGACTTCAATTCTAAACTTTATTTCAGACGTATAGTGTTACCACACAGGCAATAGGTTTGGGTTTCAAGCTCTGTGTATATCTGCAATTTGCAATATCATATTATTTATTACCCTTCTTAAAGGTAATGAGGAGTAAAATACAATGAACAAGTAAAGATATAAAGACAGTCATGACATGGTTCCAAGTAAAGGAAACTTGAATATTTGAGTAAGGCCATTTGTCAGAGAACAAAGTCGAAGCTTCGAATACCCCTAAGAAACAATGACATTATTATGCATGGCAGGATATCAGTGTTAGGTTCTAAAGCCAGTATCTGTATTTAGCAGATGGACAGAATAAATCACTCATACCTGAGATAAGCCAAGGTGTACAGATGCTGTTTCTGAGATGTACATTATTTTGCCATCTGATGCCACCACAAAAACAAAGCCATCCAAAGTCTGAAAGAGAGAGATGTGTCGGGTAGAAAGCAAGTACTCTGTTTAAACCATTTACAATGAAAAAACTTTGAAGTCTTTCAGAGGAAGATTGCTGTCCAACTTCAACAGCAGAGATTAGCAGCAAAATTTAAGGAACTGAAATTTTTGTCTGATGCTGTTCCGACGAACTCTATGACACACAAACACACACGTTGTGAAATCCAATTCATTCCCCCTACAGATGTTAGCTTTACTGCTTCACTTTAAGTTAACATTCTCCTGTTGATTCTGGTCATTTTAGTACTTAGTACAAATCCTGAGCTATTTGGTACTTAGGGGAAAGTCTAGTACTACGCAAGTCGTTTTTTATGGTATAATTGGCAGATACAGCTTACCACTATTTGAGCTATATTTAATGATACCATAAGCAACGCCTTAGATTTCTTTGACTATATTTTTAATTATGTCTTTCTGAACTGAGGGTTGTCTTCTATGTAACTATGTGAACTTATGAAAATAAAGTAAAATAAATCAGCATTCAAAACTTTATCACACTTGAAGAAAGATATTCATCCTCATTAAGCTATATTGCTACAGCCTGTGAATCTCGACTAATGGCAATACGCAGTGCAAACTCGATATCCAATCATACAAATTCTCATTGACAAGATACTGACTGGAAGATAAATACTACCTGTGCAAGGCAAAAGTGGAGTTTAATTTAGTCATGTATCATTCATATGAGAAAAAAAATAATATGATGCAAATGGTACAGGTTAGCCAAAACTGGCTGCAATTTGGACATATGAATTATCTGTTTAGGGGTACCTTGATTCTTCAATGCCCAATTGGAGGCATTTTTTTTCAAAAGTATATGATATCCTCACCCAAAAAATATCCATTGTCTCTAACCAGTTTAGGAAGCTTTGATCAACACATACATATGAACATCACTGGAAAATACATTTGGAAGAGAAAAATAATTTTTTCAGTACACAGATTAAAAAACACCTATTTTATTTCATCTTCTAAATTACCGAACCAGGAGAGAAGCAATAAAATCCTGTATGCTTCATGTTCTTACTGTGCTGCCCCACTAAGAAAATATTCCAAATTATTCTCTGGCCTACTAACGATTCTGCAGCATGTAATTGAAACCAGATTATTCTTTGCCTTTACTTTTTTTCTTTTTTGGAACATAAATTAAATTTTGTAGAAGTACCATAATGGGAAATAAATTATTGCATGCTTAGCTATAACTTTGCTTTTAAACACTGTCATCTTGCTCTGCCCAGTATGATAACTAAAACTGTGTCAATGCTTCTATTACTGCATTATATGGTGCAGTAGGTCCCTAAGTTTCCTGTACAGAGAAATATGCTGAAGCTGAAACTTCACATGTAAGGTTTCAGTTAAGAACCCTTAAAAAAAGTTACAGTAAGTGTGGGTTTGTTAACACGTTAAGCATTCATAATTCAGAAATAGCCAAATTTGTATAACTAGATTTGAATTTTCTAAGTAGACTAGTGATTCTGAAACAACTGATAGGACGTCGGCTACTTGCAACAAAATTTTCAAGGCTCGAGCTACCTCCACGCGATCTAACTTTGAACTTTATCAAACGGCCGCGGTGCGACCGGGCCGCAGGCTGGCCCGGGACGAAAAGGCGGGCGAGCCCTCCTTGGCGACTCGGCGGGGGGAAGTGGCCACAGACCCCCGAAAGGAGTTCCTGTGGAGGCTTTTATCGCCAGCCGAGCGAACAGTTAAAACAGCTCCAGCTCTGTGACCAGGAATTAACCTCCCACAGTAAAAACGGCCGATTACGGTTTACTAGGTCTTTAAAACCGGGGGAGAAAAACCCTCGCTGTATTAAGTTCACATATATATAAAAAAAAAATGGAGCTAAATGTAATATTCCTT